CACTTAATATTATACACATATTATTATATATATATTAATACTCACTAATCCGCCCCCCCCCCCCAAAAAAGTCAATTTCAATCAATCTATGCGTTTAATTCACATCAGTATCACCAGATATTCGCCACTATTTTTGTATGTAGGGAATCAGCTGGTCGACCGTTAGAACTAAATGACGCGCTATAGGTAAAAAGAAAAAAAATACTTTCGCTGATAGCTTAAAATAACCTGATGAAGATCGTTAAGTGTTGTCTTTGCAAGCCATACCGTTAACAATGTTGATCATTTCGGTGACGAAAGATTGAATTTGCTTGGCCCAGCTGTATTTCTTGCCGTATGAGGTGCGGAGTGCATCAGCCTCCTGTAGTTGCATCTGTCTTTTTTTCTGCCGGACTTTCTTGATCTTCTCAGCCCATACCTTGGAATCTTCTGAATCAATCACACACGTTTCACCAAATGCTACTTCATTCAAGGCTTCTCCGAACCCTGAGTTCTTACTGACAAGCACAGGGAGACCAGCTGATAAGGCTTCCAAACCAGTTAGGCCAAAACCCTCAGTCCTTGATGGCATAAGCACTAGATCCACTTCATAGAACAGGTTCTTCAGACTCTCGCGGTTTTTCACAAAGCTTCTCACAATAAGGCGGTCGGCAGGCACACCAAATTCGCGAAAACGTTTGGCTATTTCTTCGTGTTTTCCTTCCGGAGCACCAACGAAAATAAGACGAGCGTCTTCAACCTTAGCAACAGCTTTCGCTGCGATATCGAAACCTTTCAACTCAAAGTCTTCAGCATCTCCTCGGCCAAACACTAGAATGCCACATTGTTTTATGTCTTTATCGACGTGTTTAATATTCACAAATTCATTAAAAACACCTGGAGTGATGTCAAGAATACTTCCATCTTTCTTGCACGAACGCAGATATCTGCGAAATGCCTCGCACAACTTGGGTCCAACTCCTACAATCAAGTCTGCCATCTCACAGAGTTCTACTTCTGTTTGGCGCTTTTTCTCGCCTGTGGAAATGGAATTTTGATAGGTTTTGAACATCCCAAGCTCCTCCGGATCAGTGTGGACAACTTGAATCCACTTGCATTTGTGAGACTCTCTAATAACTTGAGCTTGGTGCCCAAGTTTTACCCCATGGCCAACCACGACATCAATTTGGAGCTGAGCTGGTGGAAAGCTCAGCCATTCAAGTTCATCGTAGCCAGGCCGCCTTGTTGCTTCAACAATTTCGATGTTGTGGCTGAGTGCAGCTATCTTGTCCTCTTCGCTACATTGTGGGACAAAGAAGGAAATTTGCACTTCAGGAAACTCAGCCAACTGAATGGCTAACTCTCTGTTTAAAGTGGATAGTCCACCTTTACTTGATCCCCATTCTGATGCAAGGATTGTGACACTTATCTTGTCAGCTGCTGGAAACAGTTGATCATTATCCTGGGATTTATGTTCACATACAAATATCTCCAGAACCTAATTTTGATGCCATCAAATAGCTCGTAACTTTATGCACACCATCAGAATATGCCTTTAGATTATTATTTCACCTAAAAAAAAATTCAGAGTAATTCAGCTTTAACAAACCTGTCTCTAACGAGATCCAAGGAACAGAGGAAAGAGATTTTCTTGCATAATAGACAGTGAAAATTTGAAAAAAGGAAGCGATTTGAGGGGGCATTCCATCGATAATATTACTTCGCGAAGACGTTCAAAAGCACAAGCGCTCTCAATAGATACGTCAAGACCCGGCTTCCTTCAGTTAAAATGATGAGTAAAATTACAGATTAGAAATCAAATTATTGAACCCAACAGCATGAGCTTCGCAGAACTCACCAGAAACCAAAAGCGGCTTGTACAAATGGCTGACTTGATAACTTTGCTATATTCAAATATACCCCAACCACACGATGATGCGCCAGTGGCTCGTAACTCTATGCGCACCATCAGAGCAAACCTTTAGATTATCCGTATAACTATAACAATATACAGAGAAATTCAACTTTAACAAACCTGTCTCTAGATGTCCTAGGAACAGAAGTTGCACGATGATTACTGAAAATAAAAGAAGAGGGAGCGATTTGAGCAGTAATTCTATTGATAGTATGATTTCGTGAAGACATTTAGGGCACGAGCGCTTTCCGTTGCTATGTGGAGAGCAGGCTTGCTTCAGTTTAAATAATGAATAAAATTACGGAAATGAAATAAACTATTAAGCTGAATCAGACCAGCAAGAGCTGAACCCACCAGGAATAAACCGGCTTGTACGACTGAACTGGCTTGATGCCTTTGCCATATACAAACGTATCACGACCTTAATGGTGATGGGCCAGTGGCTTTTCTCTATACACACCTTCCGGATAAGCTTCAGGTTATCAATATAACATTAACATTACAGATTAATTTAAAGTTAACAAACCTGTCTCTGACGAGATCCAAGGAACAGAGGACAGTGATTTGCTAGCATAATGGCCACTGAAAATAAAGTAAAGAGGATGCAATCTGAAGGGGCAGTCTATCGATGGCATTATTTTGCGGAGACATTCGTTAATTAGGTCTAGAGCCGGTTTGCTTCATTTAAAATAATGTCTGAAATAACAGATTTAAGATCAAACTATTGAGCCCGATCACATCAGCACGAGTAGACCCCACCAGAAATAAAAGTACGGCCTGTACGACTGGGCTGGCTTACCCTACACAAATCAGTGTACCGCGACTGAATGCTGAGGCATCAGTGGCTTGTGTCTCTACACACCACCAGACATACGTTAATTTATTCATATAGCTTTTAAAAACGTTACAGAGAAGTCAAACGTTGACGAACCTGTATTTAGCGGGATCCAAGGAACAGAGGACAGTGATTCGTTTGCGGACACTGAAAATGAAGGAGGAGGTCATGTGGGCACTCTTAGAAGATGTGAATTGACGTAATCGACAGACATAGCAATGTAACTTAATAGTTTCCAGAACTTTCTCAGCTTCAACCGAGGAGGCCACTGTAAGCCAACTGGAAAGGTAATAACGGGAAAGGATAAAACATCTTTTTTAACTACCACATTTAGACACAAAGCCACGTTCCGAGACGATCAATTTATATTTGGAGAGAAATAGCAGCACTCTTCGGCTGTGGAACTAAAAGGAATCCTTTAGAAGAAACTGATCAGGAATCGTGTCACGCAACTTTTCTGTTGTAGCGCTTCCTTTTGTAAACAGCGATTGCGAGTTTGATGGAGACATTTGACTCGCACGTGCCACAGACGACATTGTAAATCTCATGGGGTGTCAACCCATGCCATATCATCGAAAAAAATTGCACAATGGTTCATATTTTATATCTGAGGCAAACAAAAAATTTTAGTAGCTTTAAAGGTAACTACAAACATCCCTGCTCATTTTAAGAATTTTAAGCTAAACTCAATTGCAGATAAATGTGTCCGACATATAGTAGTATAATGTTTTCACTCTTCCACCTCTGGAGGAAGTTAGAATTAGTATTCTGTCTGATTCATAAGGACAAAGTGCTCTACGGAGAAGATATTTCGACACTAAACACAAATTAACCTCACAAAGGCAACTCAGCCTGTCTCTGTAAAAATAGTGACTTACAATACTTGACAGGGGTCTGATTGACAAACTCTGAAAGTGTCCGCGGCCAATTGCGAGAAAGCCTGATTTATCTCAATTTGTTAGGTAAAATTCATATAACGCACCACAGTAAATTCAAGACTTTCGGACTCTTGAACCAGAAACTCGCTAACGCTGTGATAGTAATTTTCAGCCTGATTTTATTGTAGTGCAGCATGGAAGATTCAGATCGGCAATTATATAACTTTTTCCTGTTCTAGTAGGACTCTTTTGCCTATTACTATAAGCACTTTGTGACTGGCCAAAGGGAAATACCGAGTTTTTTCTCCCCGACATCCTCAGTATTCGAGTCATTAGCAGTAATTGATTTCAGATAATCTGACGCTTTGCAAGAGTTTTTATTTGAACAATTTCGTGTCACGCGAGATAACGTTGGTTAACACGGGTCAAGTACTATCGTACAAGTTCATGTTGACACGTCATTACGGCGGGTCAAGCGATAACTGTGCTTGTTTTCCCAACCGTGCGATAACACAAGCTAGAATTATTTTTCTTTTCTGTCTTAATATACTCTTTCGTTAGTCTGGTTGGTTCTTAAACCCTTCTCGTTGAGGGAGCAATCAGGAAACAGGGTGGGTTGATAAATTATTTCATGACGTCTTTTCAAAGGTAATACGTGGTACTAGATTAAAATTCCCTTTTGGGATAACTCCTGCCTCTTCCTCTATTTTGTTGTTGTTGTTTTTTTAATTTTAGGTCCCTCGCCTCCTCTTACGCTCGTATACATCCCCTGAGTGAGCTTAAAAATATTGCTGTGGTATGACTGTTGTACAGTCTTAATCTTAACACCTATCTATATCCTAGTCTCGGACTCAAACACTCTCGGAAAAGTCTTTCTTTAGATTAGATGCATTTTTATTCCTCCCCTTTCCGATCTCCTCGCGTGAAAAAACTGTTCCCCTCCTTGTACTCTGAGAAGAAGAAATGAAAAAAATACTATCAAACTGTCTTAGGAAAACTTTATTTCCAACACTTAATAAAGTTACTTGACAGTGTTTAATTCATAAAATAGTTATTTTCTTAGAATCAATCATTCGGAAAAAAAAAATTTTATTTTTCAGAGAAAAAACTACTACCAACAATCCTCGTCATTCTTCACTTGAAATAATCAACTATACAACAAAATACGATAATGGTGTATATACCTAACAGGAAAGTTGAAGTCCTATTGCACATTTACACTTCTCTGCGTGACGTGCTAGAAGTCATTAAAGACTGACATTCATGGCAAACGCCCAAAAAATGAAAATTCTTTCGTCGTCCACGTGTGTGGAAATATTTACAACCCATGCAATATTGACCTTAGGTTTGGAGCAAAACTAAATCAAGTGTTGAATCTTTTTGTTGTTTCCTGTTAAAATGCAAATGACTTTTTGCTCATTTTAGCAAACCTATTCAGATAAAGATCAAGTGAGCTTGAGTTGGCTAAGAGAGCCTGAGAGAGAGAAGCACCAATAAAATTAGCTTCCAAGTTCAAATAAGTCAATGTAGTATTGACTGAAAGAGCCTGAGAGAGAGAAGCAGCTCCAGAATCACCAATGTGATTATGACCCAAGTTCAAACGAGTCAATGTAGTATTGACTGAAAGAGCCTGAGAGAGAGAAGCAGCTCCAGAATCACCAATATGATTATGACCCAAGTTCAAACGAGTCAATGAAGTATTGACTAAAAGAGCCTGAGAGAGAGAAGCAGAACTAGAATTATCAATTTGACTGTAACTCAAGTTCAAATCAATTAACGAAATATTGACTGAAAGAGCGTTAAAGAGAGAGGTAGCAGCAGAACCACCAAAGTTAGTACTTTCTAAGTTCAAATGAGTCAATGAAGTATTGACTGAAAGAGCCTGAGAGAGAGAAGCAACACTATCACCAGCAATCACAAAGGAATGCAAGTCCAAATGGGTCAATGTAGTATTGACTAAAAGAGCCTGAGAGAGAAAAGCAGCAGAATCACAATAAAAAATTTCATAGCTACGTAAGTCCAAATCAGTCAATAAAATATTGTCTGAAAGAGCCTTAAGGAGAGAAGCATAACTAGGACCACCTATCATTCTGTTACGCAAACCCAAATGAGTCAATGAAGTATTGACTGAAAGAGCCTGAGAGAGAGAAGCATAACCAGGACCACCTATCATTCTGTTACGCAAACCCAAATGAGTCAATGAAGTATTGACTGAAAGAGCCTGAGAGAGAGAAGCAGCTCCAGAATCACCAATTTGATTGCAATCCAAATTCAAGACAGTCAATGTGGTGTTGACTGAAAGAGCCTGAGAGAGAGAAGCAGCTCCAGAATCACCAATCACATTATAACATAATTTCATACCAGTCAATGAAGTATTGACTGAAAGAGCCTGAGAGAGAGAAGCAGCTCCAGAATCACCAATCATATTTGAATGTAAGTCCAAATAAGTCAATGCAGTATTGACTGAAAGGGCCCCAAAGAGAGAAGCAGCTCCACAATCACCTATTGTTTGGGAACCCAAGCTCAAATGAATCAATGAAGTATTGACTAAAAGAGCCTGAGAGAGAGAAGCAGCTCCAGAATCAAGAATCCTATTGGAACTTAAGTCCAAATAAGTCAATGAACTATTGACTGAAAGAGCCTGAGAGAGAGAAGCAGCTCCAGAATTATAAATCTCATTGGAACTTAAGTCCAAATAAGTCAATGAGGTATTGACTGAAAGGGCCTGAGAGAGAGAAGCAGCTCCAGAATCACAAATCTCATTGGAACGTAAGTCCAAATAAGTCAATGAACTATTGACTGAAAGAGCCTGAGAGAGAGAAGCAGCTCCAGAATTATAACTCTTATTGGAACTTAAGTCCAAATAAGTCAATGAGGTATTGACTGAAAGGGCCTGAGAGAGAGAAGCAGCTCCAGAATCACAAATCTCATTGGAACTTAAGTCCAAATAAGTCAATGAGGTATTGGACGAAAGACTTTTTAAAAAAAAGTCTAATCGCGGAATCTCTTTAAAGGTGCAAGCCTTAAGCTGGAGGTGAGCCCCAAACTCATGAAGCAACTGGGACTGAAGGCTTTTCTTACATTTTCCACATTCCTCTATTAAACCAAATGCCAATTCTATGGTCCTCCCAACTTCTTTAACTTCCGCACTTATCATATTTACATGAGCAGTAATTTTTCGTAAAAGACGCTTAGCATTTTCTTCGGATTGTATAGCAACAATTCCACATATGTACAAAAACACCTGCCCTAGCTCACCCAGAAATCTTTCATCTATGATTGTGATTTCTGCTTCATCTTCTTCTCTGACAATCTTTAAAGCAAGATAAAAACCGGCAAAGAACTCTTGAAAGCTCTTGTGTAGAAAGCAATAACGAAAGCAAGGCTTTCTCCTGCTCCTTCCAGACTGAGTTGACAGAAATCCAAACTTCTTTACAGCATTAAAATTGTTACCATTTGCTTTGCTTTCTTCGATATATAGCTCACCCTTAAGAAGAGATTGTAACGCTATACACCCCAAGCTTCTGAGTTCCTCTTCGTAAACTTCAATTAAATCTTCCTCGTCGCTGGAAAATCCTTTCTTTGCTTCATATCTTCTCAAGACACACTTTACGATTTCAATGTACAATTGAGTTCTGCTCTCTGGAAAAGCTTCTTCAAAATCTTCACAAAGAATGCACAATAATGCGGTATTAAGAGGATTTGATATCAGTTGGCGTAAGTCTGACCTTGACCTAATCTCTCGACGAAGTCTATCAGCTAAGTATTTCATGTTTCTAAAGTACTTGTAAATAAAACGTTCGGCGTCTTCATTTGTGAATCCCACAATCTCCCACAGATTGTCACAGTAGGGCCTCATTTTCATCCCAGATTCATGACGAGATGTGAAAACAAAAAGGCATTTAGGGAGTTCTTTACTTTGAGCGAGATTGATAAACATGTTTATTTTACCATGGTCAGCTTCGTCTAAACCATCAAGAACGAACAAAACGCTGGACTGATTCTCACGAATGAACTTGAAAAGGTTTTCTTTACATTCTTCGTCGACGTCGTCAGGAAGAAGTTGCTCATCAATTGCTTCCCAAAGGTTAGATTTGATATCGTGGCACCTTAGCAGTAAAAGAAGAGTAATCATCGGGAAGGACTCGTCCCAGTGTTCTCGTGAAGTTGCCCAGTCGTACGCCAACTTCTGGCAGTAGGTTGTTTTTCCCATACCTGGATCCCCTTCGATCAAAACTGTCCGGGGTGCAGTCTGGGGCGCAGTCGGGGCCTGAGCCGAGGCGCGAGGCTGGTGTAAAGTCTGGGGCGAAGTCCTGGTCCTAGTCCAAGGCGCACTCTGGGGCCTAAACCGGGACTTTCTGTATTCTTCATGGGTTTTGGTCCAGGGCTCTTTGCATTCTTCATGGGTTTTGAAGATAGCTGTCATGTTTGTGATATCGTCCTTCATTTCTCCTCTAGTCTTATCTTTGCGTACAATTCTGAGCCTGGTGAAAATCTCGTTCAGACTAAAACTGAAATCTTCGCACCAAGGGACTGGCAGGAGTCGTTCTTCACGTATTTTGTACAGCCGACGAATCCTCTCAATCAACTCGCAAGGCTCAGGAATATCTGCGGAAACGAATTATCATATTATCATGTGATGAATATCATGCATTTGAGTAGATAATCGGTTGAAGAAGTCCTCATTTCATTTCGGTACCAATACCACTCTAGTTGTCTAAGGCACAGCACCTGTTTCAAACACTTTGTCTGATATGAGACACGCAAAAAGTGGGTAGAGGCCATGGAAATAACAAAGAGTAAAACTTTTCAACAGTTTATCGTCCACTTACACCTTAACGTCTATTTTTTTATCATGGCAAAATAATTTCATGGAGGTGGCGTTTACATTTCCACTGCGTCTGGTCAGTATATTAAAAAGGTGGAAAAGCAGGGGGGTTGAGAGAGAAGTAGAGTAAATCTAGACGCTAGCGACACCTGTAGATTATCTGCCGAAGGCATTTTTATCCTGTACCTTGTTTGAGTCGAAGGCCTACATAGTGCCTCTCATGAATGTGACCAACCACAAGTGTATTGGTGTTGACAACACCGGGATGATTCGGACTGATCATTACATCGAAGCCAAGACTGCTGATCACACGAATACCAGTCTTGTAGCAGTTTGCTGCAGCATGAAGCATCACGTGATCACCCCAAGTGTTGTCTTTCTCCATGTTTCTCAAGTAATCAGACCATGATGGATATCCGTGGACAAACTTGAACAGCTCTGTTCCATCGGGCTTTGGGAGAGAAAAATAAGCAAATTAATCAATAGACTTAAAATAGCTATCAGTCAGTAGATCCTAATGTGTTCATTGGTAGTCAGCGTACTAATAAAGTAGAAAGATAAAAGACAAGAGTTTTGCAACCTAATTCAAAGTAAACCAGGAGCGTTGTTTTCGTCTCAAAAGATTTCCATCAACATCTTGCCGAAGTTTGCGAGTAATTTTAAATTATTCGATGATTTTAATAAAGTTCAGTACCAATGATCGCCTGAGCAAGGGTCTTACCAGGTTGGGAAAGTTTTCGAGGAACCGAACTAATTCCTTCCTTATTTCATAGTATGAGATGTGGATTCCTTTCACGTGTTGTAGTTGTTGTGAAATTGTATAAAACATGCAGTTTGCTGATGCTGGATTGTCACAAATGAGAAATCCTTTGTCCGCAGCAGTTTTCTGCAGGTTCAACAACAGTTCACTCTCCTTGTCCGTTGGTTGTTTGGAATTTAATTGTTGCAGATCATGAATGATGTTCGTAGCTGGAAGAAAAATGAAAAGCCTTTCATCACAAAACGAGGTGACTGTACTCTACTTGAGCTTTGCCATAATTGTTCTCTTCAGAATATTTTGGTCATGTCCAATGATCTTCTGAAATACCGTTTTCACGCTCATGACATTTAATACTTAGTTTTATGGTATACTGGGCTCTGAATATGTCATTGCGTATTCTACTCTTACGCCAGTTTCAGACAACATTTCAACTTTGAAACTCATACATGGTAAATTTTTCATGATAAAAGGAGAATCTACACTGCTGAGCTATGTGATACCTGCATGATGATCATCATCCTTTTGCGCAACCTGGGAAAGGGATAAACCTGATGCTTGGTGTTGATGTTGGGCTCCGCTCACCTCACAAACAGAAGCATCTGCTGAAAAGCGAAAAAAAAAACTTTATGCAATGACGTCGTTAAGTTGCTCCAATCAAACCTGCTTAGTCTTCTAGCAGTTTATCTGTAGGGGTTGGAACTGATATATTAACACTCGAATCATGGTTCTAGATGTCTATATTAGTTTTTTAATCAACTAGTTATCCTTGAATCATCCTGTCAGCAGAATACTGAAAGGCTCTCCCCTACTTAAATTAAAACCAGAAAGTCTACACTCTGTCCCTTGGAATCACCCCCCCCCCCCTAAAAAAAGGGAAAAATACATTTCGATCAATCTAAGCGTTCAATTCACATCAGTATCATGAGATATTCGCCACTCTTTTTGTATATAGAGAGAATCGCCTGATCAACCGTTAAAACTTAATGACGCCCTTCTAGGTAAAAGGAAAAAAGGACTTTCGCTTATAGCTTAAAATAACCTGGCGAAGATTGTTAAGTGTTGTCTCTGCAAGCCATACCATTAACAATGTTGATCATCTTGGTGACGAAAGCTTGAATTTGCTTGGCCCAGCTGTATTTCTTTCCGTATGAGGTGCGGAGTGCATCAGCCTCCTGTAGTTGCATCTGTCTTTTTTTCTTCCGAACTTTCTTGATCTCTTCAGCCCATACACTGGAATCTTCTGAATCAATCACACACGCTGCACCAAATGGTACTTCATTCAGGGCTTCTCCAAACCCTGAGTTTTTACTGACAAGCACAGGGAGACCAGCTGATAAAGCTTCCAAACCAGTTAGGCCAAAACCCTCAGTTCTTGATGGCATAAGCGCTAGATCCACTTCGCAAAACAGGTGTTTCAGACTCTCGCGGTTTTTCACAAAGCTTCTCACAGTAAGGCGGTCGGCAGGCACACCACATTCGCGAAAACGTTTGGCTATTTCTTCGTGTTTTCCTTCCGGAGCACCAACGAAAATAAGACGAGCGTCTTCAACCTTAGCAACAGCTTTGGCTGCAACATCGAAACCTTTCAACTTGAAGTCTTCGGCATCCCCTCGGCCAAACACTAGAATGCCACATCGTTTCATATCTTCATCGAGGGGTTCAATATTCTCAAATTCATCAAAAACACCCGGAGTGATGTCGTGGATACTTTTATCCTTCTTGCACCAATGGAGGTATCTGCGAAATGCCTCGCATAACTTGGGTCCAACCCCCACAATCAAGTCTGCCATCTCACAGAGTTCTACTTCTGCCTGGCGCTTTTTCTCGCCTGTGGAAATGGGATTTTGATAGGTTTTGAACATTCCAAGCTCCTCTGGATCAGTGTGGACAACTTGAATCCACTTGCATTTGTGAGACTCTCTAATAACTTGAGCTTGGTGCCCAAGTTTTACCCCATGGCCAACCACGACATCAATTTGGAGCTGAGCTGGTGGAAAGCTCAGCCATTCAAGTTCATCGTAGCCAGGCCGCTTTGTTGCTTGAACAATTTCGATGTTGTGGCTGAGTGCAGCTCTCTTTTCCTCTACGCCACATTGTGGGACAAAGAAGGAAACATCCACTTCAGGAAACTTAGCCAACTGAATGGCTAACTCTCTGTTTAATGTGGATAGTCCACCTTTACTTGATCCCCATTCTGATGCAAGGATTGTGACACTTATCTTGCTAGTTGATGAAAACAGTTGATCATTTTTCTGAGATTTATGTTTGGACAAACTCATGCTGGCTCAAGACACCGCCAACTGATTCCTGTGAGAGAAGAACAATAGAATTGTTGTTGAAGGTAACCATCAAGCGGAACGCGCAGCCAAAGAGTATAAATAAAATGTATGAATCTTATTACCAATTGAAAATTTTGTAGAACTTACATTCTACAAAGAGTTTTTATAGAAGGGTAAAATAGCTAAATTCAGCTTGATCGCGATCCATATTTTAATTTAGTTTCTTCTTGACACACAAGCTAGCCGCTAACAGCCCAAGCTATGGAATGCATCTAATCTTCAAATCAATGAATGTGGTACTCCAGCATCGTTTTGAAACCGAGGAAATTGCAGAATAATTGCTTTTAGATGACAGACAGAGGAATAGAACCTGTCCTACTTGAAGTTATCTATCTAAAATGTCCTTCAACCTAGTGCAACTCAGTATCTCATTTTGGTTACGCAAAAGTGCATTTCTCGAACACACTACAATTAAACCTAAGTTGATATTCTCTTGTTCTTGTGTGAAGTCGTGGAATGGTTGCTTTTGATCCGCATCAACTAACTCATGCGTGTCGTGAGTTCCAAATCAAAACTATCGTAAGAAACATAAAAGGCCAACATTTTAGGTAAGGGAGAAAGTCATAGAAGGTGGTTTCCCTTATCATGATTGAAAGCAATTGAACAATGGGGAACACAAGCCATTCTGTACAAGGGCACAGTCATGTAATCGCAGGGAAAGTTTTGGTGATGATAAAGCGTCGAGGGTTCGCTTTATTTCTCTACATCCTGTCTTGGCTTTTAAGGAGTCGATGACTCCTCTCTTTCATTAAGTTGAGGTAGTTGCATGAACCACCAGAATCAAAAAGGAAATCGTGGAGAAACTCTTAGAAGGTTTCATTTTTAAGCATTAACTTGACGCGTGAAGAATTATGAACACATGAAAATTATTTCTACGTTTCATAAAAAATCATTGCGAACTGATCCAGTATGCAATCTTCTCAGTTTCCGATACTATGGATTGCACATGAAATTTACCAAGTCCAAAACAAAGAGTATAAAATTCATTAGTACAAACGACTTTTAGCATAGTAAGACTTAACACTGATCTGAGAGCCTACCTCTGACATATTCACTTCCATGCCTACGTGCGCGCTCAAGCAATCATCGTGTAGTTTTACCCTTGATAAATAAGCTATATTTTAGGGTTAGGATCAATCCTCCCTTGATAGAGAAAAGAGTAACGATCGAAAAATGCCGAGTTGGAATAATGGAAAACAATCCTTGTTCGAAACCGTTTCCAGACTGTAATATTCGGACATAAAGCTGAAAATCACGCGTGAGTTCGTTCGCCGCTTCTTCAGTCGAGCGTGGAGTGGTAAGCAGCGAACTTGTTTGAAATAGCAGCTTTGTCAAATATGTTTTACATCGTCATAATCGGAATTCATAGTGAAAGTGGCAGCACCGTTACATACTCCTATGTTAGCTTAACGAGTTTTTATGCTGTTAAGCTAACTCCAACGGATATGCTCCCATCTTAGCTGTGGAAATTCCTTGTAACATTGAAACGTTCAGTTGAAAACAAGCAGTTACAGGGAAAAAATAATTCAAGTTTCCGTCGATTCGCAGTGAACTAAGTAAGTTGTTCATCATTAAGATATCATTGAATTAGGTGAGGAATCAAATTTTTCCAGCCACAAATTGTTTCCCTTATTTTATACTCAGATGATTTTGGTCCATATTGTATTATCTTTTTGCAAATAAGAAGTACCATTCTATGAAAAGAATTAATGTATTACAGTTATTTAAAGTGCTCTTCGAGAGCATAAATAAATAAAGGGGGTAAGTTCCTAAAGAAACTGTGGTGCAGCATCGGTGGGAGAGCATAACAGGGTAATTTAGTGTTAACAACTGGGTTGATTACGTAATTTTGCCACCGTAAAGAGTTCAAAAGCTGAAGTTTCAAGCTTTAGCCCTTCTCAATCACTCTAACTTCAGCTTTTGAACTCTTCAAAACTTCAGCTTTTTACGGTGGCAAAGTTACGTTATCAACTCAGTCGATAATACTAAATTACCCTCTTCGAAAGCACAAAATAGTGGCAGATGCATGGGTACAACTTTCAATTCTGCTTGATAAAATTATAAAAGATAAACAGTTTTGCAATTGGGAGAAGTCAAATGAGCAGACGTTAATAAAGGAGATTTTTCTCGCTAACAAGATATCGAAATGAGTATCTCAAATGCACTCATCGGATGCTGGGTTTTTTGACTATCACGATAGAGAGCTGATGACGGCCGATCATTCACAATAACGAATGGGAGAGAATGATCACCAACAAAAGCGAAAGTCAAGCTTCGTCTGTTCCCTGTAAACGGGCCCCCTGCAAATCATGATTTAAACGAATTTGCTGTTGATGGTCCAATTCTGCACGGTGTAAGGCGAAATTACTCATGTTACTCACCACTAAGGCCTTGTTTTGATAACAAGTCGGTAATCTTAAAGAGCAGTGGAACTTCCTTCTGCTTATACCATTTCTGATATCAACGGCCATTTTGTCTACCACAACGAAATCACTCGTTCAGCTCTCTTGGTGAAGTTTAAACAGAAAGCATCGTAGAAACCGTTATGAAGCTGTGGTAAAGTGCTTCTAATAGCCTTAATTCTACTAAAGAGTGGTAGTTAAGCGAGCCAAGTTTACTCAGACTATCAGATTTGTTAGCGCAGCAAATAGTGGTGGGAAAGCGGTGGGTAATCAGCAAAAGCTTGTAAATATAAATCTAGCTACTGTAATTCAGAAAAGTACACACACGTAATTCGCAAAGCCACACACGCACACCCAGCAAGTAGTAGAGGTAAATAGCAGAGAAAACTAACCTGCATCGATGATGATTCATTGCTACGTAAAGAGAGACAGTTGAAACTGAAAGAGGAAGTTTGAGAGAGTGGCGCTCCTTTTTTTGTGACGTCATTTACTTAGGCGAGTGTTCCTAGCACTAGGGGACTCCAGCCTTAATACCTGCTCGCAACTGATTTGCATTCCGCCGAGTTCAGCGTCTTCCGCAATAATAGTGCTCCTTGAAACTGTTTCTATCACTCAGCGGACTTATGCACTGCTTCACTCTTTAACCTCTTATACAATTCAATTGGAGATTTTTTTTGGGTAGGGGAGGGGGGGGCAGCCATCGTCATACAACACGCGTAAACTCTTTCGTCATTATTCTTTCATGTCTTACATCAAATGATAAGTACTTTCTGATGCAAAACACTTGAAGTGAATTAGACAAGTTCCGCTTCATTTGTTGTAAATACTCAGTGCAATTTTATAGTAGTAAAGTAATCAGTTAAGATTTTTTAATGAAAATACTTTTCAATACACATTCATTAGATAAATAAAATCGTCTTGCATCTGTAAAGCACATTTCTCTTCAGTATTAAAGACAAGACTGTCTGAAGAAGAAAGACTAACATCAAAAAAAATAATAATAATCGCCTAAAATAAATCAGTTAGGACGTGTGCTTGATTACCAGTAATGTTACCACTAACTGTTTTATTATCAACGGTCGCTGTTTCATATGAGGGCGGTAAAGGAACAAAAAACTGGACAAATACGGCGGCACCTAATATCAACAATGAAATACCCAACGGAATAAGACGTTTTGTAATGAGAGACTTTTTCTCTGATGATGTTAGTCTAATATGATGACTTGTACCACACGCTGTTTCTAACGCACTGTCCTCTAGGTTAAATTCAAGTTCGCCATTACACTCAGTCCGTTTGTTCCCGTCACTAGTCAAGAGTTCAAAATAATTGTTTGCCGCATGAAATCGGCATAAGAATGGAAGGGATGAGGTCTTGTAGATCCAACTGGACAGCATCGCATCTGATGAAAAAAGGAAAGAAAACAAGCAGATAACCTTTCCATTTTACATCATATCAAGGGTCAGAATTAGGAACAGGGTTATTATAGATGATTCTCCACTACCCGAGAATCTCAATGAGGTCAACCGTTAGCCGTAAAATGGTCAAAATTTTTAACCGTTAGCCGTGAAAACCATCAGAACTGATAAAAAATTCCTGGGCGTTTCACGTCACGCGGAAATAGATGAGCTCCTGCAAAAGATGGGCCCGTTGGCGCTAACGCTTCACATCACATGCCGTCAAGAGATGACGTCTTCTCAGCGTTTGGGGCAGGCTGGCTCAGGTTGAATTGATTCGAATAATTATCACAGAGAAGTTACAAGCAACCTAGGACCCCCTTTTCACCTCCTAACCACACCCTTGATATAACACCACTACCTCTTTCTCTTCTGCTAACTTCTACATTTATCCAAGTCTCTGATACATTGTACAACGCTGCCTTGATTGCTGTTCGTTCTTTCGCCTGATTGAGGCAAACAAAAAAGAAGCAAAATGATACGAAGTAACGAAGTAAGAAAAGAACCCAAGGTGGGGGAATTAATTTACTGCAAACTAACAACAACTGTAGTATTCAATTTAATAAAAACCGTAAATAATATTGCGTAAATAGCTGAAAATTCAACAAAGCTACTCTAACGCCTCTTTTTGTCTTTTGTTCTTTTTTTTTATTCACCAAAACCTCTCTGGCAAAAGACCTCCCCACGTAATGTTCAGGGAGCTGCCAGTTAACCCATTGAATAAAATCGCCCTAGAAAAGGCTCTAAGACACTACCATTACAATGAGAGGTCATCTAGGGCAAATATGTCTTTCTCCGCTCTATTTCAAGGTAAAAAGTATATAAAATAACGCCCAAATACAGACCATGACTACTACAAATATTGAATTACACTACAATAATATGAAATAATAAATAATAAATATGATAAATAACTGATTGATATACTAACCAGCTGTGCTTGCCTCTCCCAGTCTGTTCTCCACAGTAGAATCACATATAAAGACGCCTAAAATACAATCATAAGAGAGTTGAATTTTGAGGAAAAGAGATCCAAACTATTCCAAAAACACCAAAGGTAACCGGGCGCAAAAGCTGAACAGTAATTCAATGGCAATCAGCGGCTCACCTGAGATACGACTCCAATCCCCAAGCCTATCCAGAGACCTTCAAGCGAAATGACATCGGTAAGATCTCATGACAAACTTAACACGCTCCCACAAAGCAAAGCGAGCACACATAAAAAACGACCATATGACTTTACGCGAGCGCACGCAAAAGAGCACAACGAGTGAAACAAACGAGGAGCTTTAAAGAGATGAGTGAATTTCGCCTCCAACAATACAAATTCATGTTCCACTTGTGACCTGTCAGCACTTCCAAAGGTGAAATAATACCATCCAAAGGCTATTTCATTACGATTTCATTTTTCCTTCTTTTTTTCTCCTCGACCATACCGTCAAGCATTCTCTAAGACCATCCAATTCCTAATTAAAATTTTTTTACACCTAGTCCTCTTAATCTGCTTTTTTTGTGTCATCGAACATGGCAAGAAAGTACTAATGGTATAAGCTAAGCTTTGTTCGAGCAGGAACTACCACGACCCACACGTATCATAAAATTTATTCTTTCACCGAAAACGGCTATCAAACATTGACATATTTGCTAAATTTGAACGCTGATGTAGCAATTTTCAATTCCTTTACCTGTAATTTCATGGAAGACTAAAAACATCAACGTTATCCCACAAGGAAGCCCAATACAGCAATAGGCAACAAAATTTATCAGTACTCCTATCGTCTGCCGGCCTGATCCTCGGACAATACCACTGCAAACACCCTTAAAAAAAATATTAACCGAAAGAAAACTCATTTGACAATGACTTGAGTCTTGGGCCCTGCAGTTGCTTTAAAAGTTGTGTCAGCGGTCTACTACAAATGCGGCTAATGCGATGTTTTTGGCAATTTTGACAACAAATCATATAAATACCATTTAGAGAGGAAAGAGTCATTGAACTCTACTGACAGCCCAAACATTCGTTACTACCTTGCCTGACCACTTTTCCTTTGAATTTTCACCAGAATGTAATGAACAAGAAATCGTTATTCGTCAATAATCCATTGAACAGTTAAATTTCATGAGAGCGAAAGTGGCTTGATTACATTTTCTTTTCAGTTGCTATGGAAGTACAAGATTAGCAGCTAGATATTTTCGACTATAAATCCTCTTGTAAAATTGTAAAATACAAAGTCTAAGAACGGAAGTGACAAAACCAGTCAAGTAAAAAATTAAATTTTACCTGACTTCTGGTTGTTAATTAAAGACACTAAACGGTTAAGAATTGTTCTTTACCTGGACTCCATCAAAGAGAAAGTAGGCAGACATGAAGCGAATATTCTTTGTGTATAATGACAACACTTCGCTGCACGAAAAAAAAAAAAAAAAAAAAAAAAAAAAAAGATTTTTATTCAGTAAACATAACGTTAAGGTGTTTAATAAACCACAGGCGGCCCTAGCTCCAGCTGTGAGATGATCATCTTGCACAATAACAGTCATGGCGGAATTATAAGAGTTTGTATGAGAATATTTACGACCGCTCTAAGGAATAAAGCAATACGTCAAATTCTCAATAAAAAATACCTCACCTTACTTTCACAGCGTATCAGTTGTTATCTGACCGTTTGAAAGGCCTTTCTTATATACGTTGAAAACCTCGAAATGGACAACTCGCTAAAATGGGTTCTTTTCATCAAAGCAAACGGTCAGATAACAAGTGATACGCTGTGAAAGTAAGGTGAGGTATTTTTATTGAGAATTTGACGTATTTTTTATTCCTTAGAGCGGTCGTAAATATTCTCATACAAACTCTTATAATTCCGCCATGACTGTTATTGTGCAAGATGATCATCCCACAGCGGGAATGTGGGCCGCCTGTGAACAAACAAAATGACAGACAGAGAAATGGTCTTTGTCATAGGTGCGACTGATTTAGACTGACATGCATGAGCGAGGAATTTTGACCGGCACGCACGAGAAGTTAAGCGAGACACACACAAGAGCAAAACCTTTCTTTTCGATTTCTTTGGAAGGGAGCTCTATTTCGCGTGTCTGTTCCTTCGCACGCGTGTTTCTTTGGTGCACGCGTGTTTCTTTAGTGCGTGCTTTTTTTTTTTTGCTACGTTGACTAAGAGACCATTGCCCAAATTTTGAGATCCTTTCAATGACGAGGTAATAAAGCGGTAATCTGAGGTTCATACGTATATCGATCACAACACCATAACTGATAACATTGCTAATCATAAAAATTACAATTCACTTGCCGATTTGTTATCGGACAGTTCAATAAGCCAATCACACTCAGAATTGTAGTGTAAATCAACCAATCACAACCTGGGCCTCAATCACCATTGGAACTGTGTACAGACTCCAAAATTGAAGTTTTCTTTAATATGGATAATTTTTTCCTCCTTTTCATGGAAATTGTAATTTTATGATAATTTAGTAATAAGACTTCGTGTCATCCAATTTTCGGTCTGTAATCATACTCGTGATAAACAAATCGGAATGTCTGATTTTGTTAGCACTCACATGATTACAGACTGCTTTGGACTCCACTCAGTCCTATCACCATTTCAAATTACCAAATGAATGAATAATGTACGAACCTGTTATCGGTAAACACTCTCCCAGTCATGTCTTGCAGTCCAAAGAAAATGGCAAACACAACAAGATCTATACAGACTGTAGGTAAAAGAGTTTTATCTTCAACTAAGAGTCGAAATCAATCTGCCTTTATTTCAAGAAGTAATGGCTATAGGTGACCGCAAATTTTGGTGAACTTATATTGGTATCTATGATTCCACTACGAGTTTAAGGTACTTTTCGAATAATTTTCTACAAGTTTTTACCGATAAGTCCAATAGCCACTTTTGCTGTCCTTTTTGCCGCAGCTGGGTCGCCGGCACCCAAAGCATTTCCAACACGGACACCAGCGGCAATGCTTATTCCAAGAGGAATCTACACATGTAAAACAACGGGATTAAATGACTATACCATATATCTTATTTGTGGAAAAGTCTATTGGCAGAGACATGTATCATGAGAGAGTGTTGATCTAAACATTCAAGAACAATGGAAACCTGAATGCATTGTCACAAATCTTAGTGCTATTAATGGATAGCAACGATTTTAACCTGCATTTTATCATCATACATTTAATAAGTTTTGTTTTCTCACTCACCATAAAATGAAATGCGGCCCACTGGAAAATTACCCCATATGTGGCCAGTTGGTACTCACCATACGACCCTTTCAAGGTAAAATAACAGAAACTATCGTATTACTTATCACCACATGGTTATTAAAATAAAATCAATTGTATATCATAAAAAGTAAGTGCTGGACAAATCTCTAATTGAGCGTCAACAATAATCCTTGACTTTTAGATGTTAGTTTTAATTTACTTCACTCTGTGATCAGATGTTTTGAGTTCGCATCAGGTTGTTGTGCTATTTTCCTTTCCTCTAGAAAGCCTTAGTTTAGCTAAGTTTTGTTTTAATGACATTAAATCAAAATTTGAAGAAGTAATAATGGTTTTGTTGAAGGCTATACCAATTGAAACAAAGCAAATTGTGGAAAAACATCTGTCGTCTTTTAGATAAGAATTAGTGTAACAAGCAGACACAGGAGTGCAGGGTGTGTCTGCTGAATTCAAACTTATTTCAAGTGAACATGAGAGGAGAAATTTACTTCCTTGGGCAAGAATTCACTTAGCACAGGGTGTCCACTAACAAAATAGCATCTGCTTGGCACAGGTTTTGCTTGTTGTCAATTTTGCTTACTCATAGGTCTCAGTCAATAACGAATTTCATAACATAAATTAGGTATGAGCCAGTACATGGAAAAAATTGCTACAAATTCAAATGCTATATATTGGACTGACTTAAAAATTGCTCGAATTCCCACTTAAGAGTCCAGGAATAACTTTCTGTTGTTTGAAACATTTATCTCACTGAGTACCTGCAAGAAATGATCCTATTTCAAAACTCCACCACTCAATACAAATCATCACCATTCCAGCCACAGCAAGCTTGATAAACTGTCCCCAGTCTAACAGACTTTCTATGGTCCAGCCTAAAATGCAATATAATTGGACAAATTATATA